CACACACAATCTCTCCCAGATTTGAAATAGTTCATGACTATAAAAGACTAAATTGGAAAATTCCATAAAAATAGATAGTGGAGCAAATATGAAGAATACAATTCACGGGTCATCTTTGCCCAGCCATGGTTTTGGCTCTAGCCATATATAAGGACACAGCTGTCATGCTTGCTCTGTGAAGTCTCCTGCCATGTAAGTGTGTCTGGAAGCTCTTTGCTCTCATAGCAAAAAAAAAAAAACAGAGGTGCTGATGAAATCAGGCCTATCATACCCAAATCCCTAAACCAAACAGGACTCAACAGACATTCCACTGGGTCTCCGATACAAGCCCCATAATACATATCCCTCTTCTGTTTCCAACACAGGTGATAGAAAGGAATGTGGACCCAGAAGGGACGCTGCTGACCTTCCTGCGCAAGAACCGAATCCTTTTTCTAAAAGTCCTGCCCAGGTCTATGCTTGCCTTACAACCTAAGCCAGCTGTGCTCATGAGAATGCATCAAATCTCTCCATTCACACTGTCATCCCCCTTGGCTCTTGCTCTGAGTTTGCTTTTGGCAGTGGTTTTAAGGGTATTAGGTTAATTGGGCTCTTTTGAAGGGGATAAAGTTTCCTCTAGAGTTTTTTATATCTGATAATAGCAGTGAAATAGAAGCTAAGCTCTTTATTCCAGCACTAATCATTCCCTTGAGAGCCTTCCAGATCCCCCCCAGGGCTGTTATATAACAGGCTTGTGTGCATTTCATGTGCCCTCCCTTTCGTGAAACCAAGCTGTCCAGATTCAGTGACAGCAGGTGTCAAAGGAGACGATTTCCTTTCCTTACATCTGTTTCCTTATCACACCATTTTATATTTTGGAATATAGATCTTCACAATAGTAAACATATCTTAATTGGTAAATCTGATGGATCTCCCAGAGAAGCCAAAAAGAATAAATAAATAGAGAAGTAAATAAATGACAAATTATAAATTGATGAAATCAGCCTCTGGAAAATTTTATTTAAAAGTCTAGTTGCCAATATATGAAAATTAGGAAATTTCGTATTTTTAAAAAGTGATACGTTCCAGCTTGTCTTGGCAAGTGGGAAGATAGCCATCCCGGTGCACCACCCCCGGTCTTGCCGAGAGGAGGGGAGGCACTCTTCCTTGCCCCTTTTCTAAAATGGGGCTTGGGCTCTCCGCTCACACGTGGCCCACTTGATTCATTTCCGTCACCTCTCTAATAAGCATCTGTGGTTTTGACTTAATGTGAATAAACAAGCCCTGGGGTTAAAAATAAATAAATAAACTCAAAAGATAATAGTAATAGAGTTGATGATACCGAATTGTTATTAGCCAGTTTAGTTAATTACCTCCAATCCCATAAATTGTCTGTAAATAAACCACACAGAGGGAGAAGAATGAACACAGAGAAGGGACCTTATGCAGAGGGTTTAGGATTGGACCCAAGCCAGAGCAGAGGGACACTCAAGGTGGGGTCTGCAAGTAAGGGTGGGCGAGTCCTCCAAAGTTTCCCCAACTTGCTTTCAAATGCAATATGAATTCCTGCACAAAACCAATAATCCATTGAGTTGTTCAAAGTAATGTTTTTCTCTTCCACTTACATGATTGGAATCGAGAAGAAAACAAAGAAGAATTCCCTATCGTGAAATAAGATAAAATAAATAAAGGGCTTTTACACCCATTAACCTGCAAGATGCTTATAACCAGCCTGTGAAGATAAAGGAAGTATCACTTCTCCCTCTTTGTAAGTTAGAAAACAAGCAAGGGGAGGTCAGTATGTCCAGTGTCCCACAGCTAATGAGATGTGGAGTGAGCTTTCCCAAGACCTGGAGGTGGGCGAATGTACCTCACTCCACAAAGAACTTTCTCACCAGCTGCACCCCGGGGAGGCAGCCACATGGATATGAATGTCCACCTGGGCATCTTTTCTTTGACCAGCCCTTCCAGTGCGTCTCACGGGAACCAAGTATGCCTGTGGAGGAGGCGGCTGCGGTGCCTGCACTGTGATGGTGTCCAAGAATGACCCTGTGTCCAAGAAGATAAGGTATTGTACCCGGACACCCAGATGGCGGAGGAGCACTCTGTTTCCTTGGCTTCCCACATCTTAGATTCCTGCTGTTTCTGGATCATAGACCCCTCTGAAAATTCTGAGAAAAGCTGTGTATGAAATCTCAGATAGCATATAAACCAATTGCATTTGCATACTATTTAGCCCATCTTTGCACCCCGGGTTAGGTCAGCCATTCATTTTATGGATGAAGAAACTGAGGCTCACAGAGATGAAGTGACTTGTTCCAGAGCATACAACTCGGAAACTATATAACAAGAACCTGGAACCACAATTTCTGGCTCTGAGTTAAAGTTCTTTCTACTATGGAGCTAAAACAACCCTCAACCTCAGCCCTTAATTAGAGCCAGATCCTAGAACTTGGGCTTTTCCCAAATCTATAGGTTCAAAAAAATCAAGCAATGTCTTCAGGGCACTGTTGAATGATCTTATCCAGAAAGTTTAAAATTAGCAAGCAAAAAAAAAAAAAAATCCCCAAATGTATATGCGTGTATATGGGTAAAAACCACAGTGATGCCTTTTGCTGGGTATGAGATCTTCGTCCCCATAAATACTAGTTGAAATCCAACTACACTCCTAGTGGCATAAATCCATTTCCATTGTTCTATTATGAGCTTGGAAAGTTTTTCCAAAGTTCAAAATGCCCAGCTTCACCTTAAGAATCCCCAATCCCTACAGGTAGCGCAGCATCAGCAGAGAGGCCTCAATTCTTCCTCCCTGTCACCTCTCTAGACCCCCATCCCCCAGGCTGAATGATAGGCTTTGGGGGTTTGTATTGCCCCTCCTGGTTCCAGGTTTCCTCAAGGGTCTGTGTTCCTTGTGTTTCTCATACAAAGACACTTCTCTGTCACTGCATGCCTGGTGCCCATCTGCTCTCTGTATGGCACTGCTGTCACCACCGTGGAAGGAATTGGGAGCATCAAAACTAGGATTCACCCTGTACAGGTAAAAGTTCATCTGAATTTTCTCATTTTCCAACTTTACTGTGTAGACTGCACTGACCGAGGCTTCTAGGATGTGATCAGATGAGTAGAAGCTTTGGATGTGAGATTGATCAGGTAATAACATTTGTGAAGTGTTTTAAAAGACAACTGGAAATCCATCTATATGTCATTAGATAAGATGATCGTCTTTTTGCTTACTTTTTCTACTTGAATGATACTTGAATGATACTTGTTGAAATATTGATTAATGCCTATTGGACAATGGCCTGGAGTAGGAATTATACAAAGAAAATTACACGTAGAATAAAATATCTCTAAGGCTGACATTCCCTGTGGCACAGAGTAAAAGCAGAAATGGCAGTGAGTGTACTCTATAGCTGACCTCCCCAGAGCATGAGAACAATTGTTTCTCCGAATCTTAACATGAAGCTAGAACAAAGAGGTTGCATTTAAGAGTGATAAGACATGTATTGGCAGAAAACACATCGATTCCTCTGTCATTGTCACAGGGCAGTACACAAGCAGATTGAGCAACATGGAATCCTTCTAGATAGGAGCCAAGAGGGCCTTTGGGTTTAACCACGTGAGAATCAATTCTAAGGTGGTCAGCAAACGCAAAGAGTCCAGCAGCGTCTCCTAGAGTCCAGTAGGAGATCAGAAAGATAACTCACAGCAAGGTTGATAAATGCGAATCTTAGGATTATGTTACATTCTGAAATCTAGACCAAAGCTTCCCAAAATTTCATATACCTAAGAATTACCTGGGGCACTGGCTAAAGATGCAGATGGTGACAATCAAGAGATTTGGGCTCGGCGCCTGTGGCTCAGGTGGCTAAGGCGCCAGCCACATACACCTAAGGTGGCGGGTTCGAATCCAGCCTGGGCCCACCAAACAACGATGGCTGCAACCAAAAAATGGCCGGGC